GGGGCTAGCCGTGGCTAGCTGGGGCTAGCCGTGGCTAGCTGTGGCTACTCGTGGCTAGCTGGGGTTGGCCGCGGCTAACTGCAGCCAGCTAAGGCCATCCGTGACTAGCTGCGGTTAGCCGTGGCCAAATTTTGGCTATTCGTGGCTAGCTGGGGCTAGCTGTGGCTAACTGTGGCTAGCTGTGGCTAGCCGTGGTTAGCTCTGGCTTGCTGTGGCTAGCTGTGGGGCGACGGAGCTCGTGGCAGGCACTGGCTTGCTGCTGCCAGTTACGATTGCCATGTTGAGCGGAATGCTATGAATTTGCTTTAATAAATTAAATAAATTTCAAACAAATTTGCAGCAAAAATAGTCCACAGACGGACAGACTTGAATGTGAGCTACGCATACACCGGAAGTGACCCGCGGCGATCCGCTGCGCCTCAGGCCCCATTGCCTCGCGCCTCTTTTTGCATTTGTTTAATGACTCAAGTAATTAATAATAAAAGTATTTCAATAATTTAATCTTTTGAATTTGTTCCAGCTTGTTTTTGGCTTAATTCCAGCTCGTTTGCGGCGTGGCTGCAGTCCTCTCGACTGCTGCGCACGGGAGACGCGGGGGACGGGGCCTCAGCGCCCGAGCCGCCTCTGTTTGGACTTTAATATATCTTTTTGGATTTCTAAATTTAAAAAAAACGTTTTCTAAAATCAAAAGTTTTATTTTTGTCGCGACTTGAAGCAATTTCATGGCCTTTTGCCGGGCGTTCCTCCCGCCACCGCTGACTGCCTCTGTCCAGAGAGCCTATAAGTTTCTCGCCATCTCTCTTCCTTTCACAAAAGATGAGACAAAGTTAAAAAGAAAATGAATACTTAATTTATTTCAAAGAAGGCGAAGCAAAAGCACCAACACGCAGCTGCGCAGACAAACAAGACGCAGCTTCTCTGTGCCAACTCACACTGAAGCCCAACAGAAGCCCTCAACCAGCGGCAGCGGCAGAAGCAGCAGCAGCAGCAGCAGCAGCAGCAGCAGCAGCAGCAGCAGCAGCAGCAGCAGCAGCGGGAGCTGTGAGTGTGGGTCTGCAGTGGATTATGCGCGGGAGGCGAGTGTGGGAGTTGCCGGGTGTGCAGGATGGGTGTGTGCTGCTGCTGCTGCTGCGGGTTGTTTGCGTGCCGGCGCAGGTGTGTGGGGTTTGAGCTGCTGCTGCTGCTGCTGGTTGCAGTGTTTGGCAACATTTGCTGCTGCTCGGGGGAGCCCTTTTGCCGCTACGAACTGCAGCAGACTCCGCAGCAAACGAAGCAGCAAAACTGCGGGTTCGTGTGCCCGGATCCGTGGGGCAAAGAAGACCCGCACGAGTGTGGGGCCCCACACCCCTGCTGCTGCGCGCCGCAGTGCGACGCAGCAGCAGCAGCAGCACGGGCCTTCGTGGGGGTGAACTGGTCGGACAAGTACTCGAGGCTGCGGCTGCCTCGGGAGAAGCTTTTTGGGATTTTGAAAAGAAATAATTTGCACCACATAAAGACCTTTTCTCCCGACGGGTTGAGTGCAATATTTGCGGTGTACGGACACCGCGCGCGGGTGTACGTGGGGCTGCCGAACCGCCTGCTGCCCGCGCTTGCTGCTTCCCCGGCCCGTGCTGCTGCAGTGGTGCAGCAGCAGCTGCTGCCCTTTGCTGCTATCCTGCGGCTGGTCATAGTGGGCAACGAGCCCCTCATTTGTATCAAAACGGCCCAGTGGGCTGCCCGCGGGGAGTGTGGGGCCCTGGGGGCCCCCGCGCTGCTGCTGCCTGCGCTGCGCAACGTCAAGGCTGCGCTGCAGGCTGTGGGGTTGGGATCGATCCCAGTGACTTCAGCTTTGAATGGAGGCATTTTAAACATGTCTCAAAACCCCTGGACTCCCTGCGTGTCTACTTACAGGCCAGCAGTTTTGCCTTTGCTGCGCCAGCTCTGGGCCTTTCTCCTTTCCCAGACTCCCCCCGCCCCTTTCTTAGTCAACATTTACTCTTGGTTTGCTGCCATGGGGGGCCACATCCCCCCCGCGCTTGCAGTGGGGGCCCCCAGGGGGCCCCCGCCGCCCGCAGACGGGAGTTTCAGCTACTACTTCAACTTCGACATGCAAGTGGACATGCACCGAGTGGCTCTTTGCAAAGAGGGCTTCGAGAAGCTGGACCTTTGGGTGGGAGAAACGGGGTGGCCTAGTTGGGGGGCCCCCCAAGCAAGTGTTTTGAATTCTTTCAACTTTTATAAAAACGTTATTCGGAGGGCCCTGGGGCTGCACCTGGTGGAGGCGCGCAGCGACAAAGTGCGGCAGCAGGGGCTGCCGCTGCCGGTCTTTCTCTTCGAAGCTTTCGACGAAAACTTCAAGTTCGAAATTGAACATGGAAACAAATTCGAAAACGCTTTTGGACTTTTCTACGAAGACGGAAGGCCCAAGTGGACCCCCGCCTTCGCCCGCAAACACCCCGAACTCGACTTCTACAGCAGCACCAGCACCAGCAGCAGCAGCAGCAGCAGCAGCAGCAGCAGCAGCGGTGGCTGCAGCGGGGGAGAGGGGGAGGATGAAGATTGTTTGCTGGGCTTTTATGAACTGCATTTGAGCAAAGAAGAGCTGGAGAGAGAAAGGCAGCGAAGCTGGCAAGAGGCACAAGAACCAGAAGACCCAAACGAAATCGAAGAACAGCAGCAGCAGCAGCAGCAGCAGGAAAGTGATGGTGATGATGAGGAGGAAGAAGAAGAGGAGGAGGAAGAGGAGGAGGAGGAGGAAGAAGAAGAAGAGGAAGAAGAAGAAACAGGGCAAACAAACGCTGCTGCAGTTGCTGCTGCTCCTGCTGCTGCTCCTGCTCCTGCCGCGGCTGCTGCTGCTCGTGCTACTGCTCCTGCTCCCACCACAGCCGCAGCAGCTGCTGCTCCTGCTGCAGCTACTGCTGCTCCTGCTGCAGCTGCAGCAGTTCCTGCTCCTGCTCCAGCTGCAGCTGCTGCTGCTCGTGCTGCTGCTCCTTCTCCTGCTCCTGCCGCAGCAGCTACTGCTCCTGTTGCTGCTCCTCCTGTAGCTGCAGCTGCTGCTCGTGCTCCTGCTCCTGCTCCTGCTGCAGCTGCTGCTGCTCGTGCTGCCGCTGTGCCTGCTACTACTCGTGCTGGTCCTGCTGGTCCTGCTGCTCCTGCTGCTCCTGCTGCTCCTGCTTCTGCTGCTGCAGCTGCAAAGCAGGGAAAACAGGCCGAAGGAGGGCGGACACCGCAGCAGCGCAAGCAGCAGCAACAGTAGTAGCAGCAGCAGCAACAGCAGCAGCAACTGATGTTGCTGCTGCTGCTGGCGGCTCGTTGCTGCTGATTCTGGGCTGCGTCTTTGCCAGCGGCTCCGCTCAAGAGCTGCTAAGAAAACAATTTTGTGATTTTTCTTCGAGATTATTTATTTATTTATTTATTTTAATAACTTTTATTCGTCAACTCTTTTGTTTACTGCAGCAAAAGGCCGTTTCAAAGCCTTTTCTCAGTATGTCTTTTACTATGGAAGCCTCCAAAAAACCTCAAACCCTAACCCCAAACCCTAGGACCCACATCCAAACCCTAAACCCTAAACCCTAAACCCTTAACGCTGCAGCGTTTCTCACGCCCAGACTCCCTGCACTGTCTGAAGCGGCTTTTCTTCAAAGACTTTATTAAAAGAGTTTTAACTACAGAGCTTTTTCTTTAGCAGCAGCTATCCACTTAAAAACTTTTCTTACTGCAAACTAGCTAGCTAGCTAGCCAGCCAGCTAGCTGGTTTGCTGCCCACTTAGCTGCTTGGCTAGCTAGCTAGCTACATCTGCGGCTACCTAGCCAGCCACTTAACTAGCTAGCTAGCCAGCTAGCTGACTGGTCAGCCAGCTATCTAGCTACCTACGCGGCCAGCAAACTGGCCAGCCAGGTAGCTAGCTACCTACGCAGCTAGCTAGCTACCTACCTAGCTAGCTAGCTAGCCACCTACCTACCTATGCAGCTAGGTAGCTAGCCAGCTATGCAGCTAGGTAGCTAGCCAGCTATGCAGCTAGGTAGCTAGCCAGCTATGCAGCTGGCTAGCTTACTAGCTAGCTAACTAGTGAGCCAGTTGGAGCAAAAAGACGCAAAATATTCAAGCGAAATTCAAATATAAACCCCATTTTACTTCCCCTGGTGTTTGCGGGTCAAGAGTCCAAATGTGAGCTCGCGACCCAGGGGAGGAGCCAAACTCTGGGAAACCCTAAACCATAAATTAGGGTTTCTCTCGTGGCGCACGCTTACCGCAGCAGCTGCCGAAGCAGCTGCTGCAGCGCCAAATGTGGAGCGTGCGCTGCCGCACATAACTAGCTAGCTAGCTAGCCAGATGAAGAGCCAGCCAGCTAGCTGCAAGAGGGCACTGCTTTAGGACATGTCTAGATCTTGTCAGTCAGATCACTGGCCAGTTGGCTAGCTAGCCACCTGGCTAGCTGGCCAAATAGCCAGCTAGCCAGATGAATAGCTAGCCAGATAGCTAGCTATCTATCCAGATAGCTAACCAGCCAGTCAGATAGCTAGCTAGTTAGCCAGATAGCTAGCTAGCCAGATAACTCGCTAGCCAAATAGCTAGCCAGCCAAATAGCTAGCCAGCCAAATAGCTAGCCAGCCAAATAGCTAGCTATTTCTGTTGCCAGCGCATCGGGCGCATCGGGCACTGGTGCAGAATCCGATATATGCCAGCTAGCCAAGCAGCTGGATCTGCTGCGCAGTTGGCTAGCTGGCCCAGCGCCGCGCTCTTCACCTAGCTAGCTAGCTAGCTAGCTAGGGCAAATTCCTCTTTCACTCCTCCTTCGGCCTGGCACTCCCGCTGTTGCTTGCCAACCACATATTTGGCTAGCTGCTGTCTGCTGCTTGGCTAGCTGCTGGCTGCTGCCTGGCTAGCTGCTGGCTGCGGGCTGGCTAGCTGCGGCCGCGCAGCAGCTCCCCCTCAGACCCCCCGGCGCCCCGCAGCGAGCCAGCGGCTAGCTGTGGCTAGCTGGTGGCTAGCTGGTGGCTAGCTGGTGGCTAGCTGGGGTTTACTTGTATTCGAAGTCGAGGAGGCTGAGGGCGTCAGCAATTTCGTGCAGCGAAACCACAGCAGAAGGCATTCGGAAAGTGGCGCGGACAGAAGAGTCTGGCTTTGGGTAGGCCGTGAGGACTAAGAGAATGCGTTTTTGCTGCAGCACAGCTTGGGCGTTGGTCCAGCCGTGCTGCTGCTGCTGCTGCTGCTGCTCGTCTGCTTCCTGCTGCTGCAGCGCCTGGCTGAAGACTTCGATCTTCTCCTGCAGAGTCTCGGCCTCCGCCAGCTGCTGCAGCAGCTGCACGAAGGACTTGCCGGGGAGGCGGCTGTACTTGCTGAGCGCGAGAATGGCCTCAATGCCCTCTGCTGCGCTGCTCTTGCTGCTGCTGCTGTTGCTGCTGCTGCTGCTGCTGCTGCTGGAGCCCGTGGGCAGCGCGTTGGTGAGCCCCGAGAGCCGGTCCAGCAGCAAGTCCTGCGGATTGCCATCGGGGTCGAGAGCTTCTTCAATTAAATCTTTTAAATTTGTTCTCCGATGCAGCAGCAAATCAAAACTCTTCAAAACTCTGTCCAGCGCTGCGCGCCCCAGCAGCTCGGCCACCTCCCCCACGTGGCTGGTGCCCTGCACCTGCAGGTACAGCGGCCGCCCCCAGCGCCCGCTGCTGCTGCTGCTGCTGCTGCTGCTGCTGCTGCTGCTGTGCTGCAGCTCCTCGGGGGAACTCACCCGCCAGTGGCCGTCGGGGAACAGAGTCTCGGCCTTGGCCATGTAGTCTCCGAAGCAATCCAGGAACTCCAACACCCGCCGGGGCCTCCCCTGGACCCAATAGTCTTCAGCTCCAACAGTTATTGGAATGGGAAATTTGTTCAAGAGGTTGAGGGGGAGGCGGGACTGCAGCAGCACAGTTTGGCTGGCAGCAGCAAAGACGGGGTAGCCGAAGCGCTTCAGGGGGCTGTGGCCCAGCCGCGCCTCCGGCTGCTGCTGCTGCTCCTTCACTGCAGCACAAGAGGCCTTCCGCGGCAGCTTCTGCAGCAGCCAGGTGAACGCGCGCCGCATAAACGACCCCAGCAGCTCGCTGCTGCCTTCCTGCTGCTGCTGCTGCAGCGCAGCAGCAACTTCCTTGTACAGCGAGCTGTCCGCCCCCAGCCGCCGCGCCAGCTCCTCCCCCCCCAGCTGCAGCACAGCCTCAGCCAGCTGCAGCGCCCGCTGCTGCAGGGGGGCCCCCTCGGGGGCCCCCCCGGGCAGCTCCCCCAGCGACAGCTGCGGGTTCTTCTGCAGCGCAGAAGCAAACACGTCCGCCAGCCGCTGCAGCACAGGGTCGCTCTTGCTGCTGCTGCTGCTGCTGCTGGAGGACGGCCGCTGCTTCCCCCGCGCCGACGCGCCGCTCAGCAGCAGCAAAAACACGCTCAGCAGCGCCAAATACCGCATTTTGAAGCAGCAGCAAACGCAAATGAACTTCAAATGGATTTGCTTCAAATGCAACTTTTCAAATTAATCAGATATGACACAACTGCTGTAGATACACCCCAGCCTGCCCCGCCCTGCGCAGAGCGCCACACCCGCGCACAATCGGCGCCCCTGAGACCCCGCTGCTTTGCTGCGGCTGCTGCTGCTGCTGCTGCTGTGGCAGCTGCTGCGGGTGCTGCTGCTGCGGCGGCTGCTGCTGCAGACGCCGCTGCTGCTGGGGTTGCTGCTGTTGCTGCGCCGGCAGCCGCAGGCGCTGGGGTGTATGCGCACTTGAAACGAAGAGGCCGCGCGCCGACGGGCTGCAGCAAATGGCCCCAAGGAAAAAACAAAGGGGAAAAAACATAAATAATACAACTTTAGATTCCAAAACCCTTAATTCTAAACCCTAGACCCTAAACCCTAAACCCTAGCTGCTGCTCCCGGGGGCGGTGGGGGGAGCGGACGCGCCTATTATGACGGCTAGATGGCCCCAGGCCGGGGTGGCGGCTGCTGCGGCCTCTCCGCGCAAATTGCTGCTTTAAACTCTTTTCCTAAATCAAAACCCACACAAAGTTTTATTTTCTTGATGGATTAAAGGAAAAATAAGCGAAAATGAGCAAAAATCCGCGAGTTGCAGCAGCGGGAGCACCAGAGCAACCGGAGGCGCAAGCCTGCAAGCCTGGCTTTGCCCTTGCCTGTGAAGCTGCTTATTTCTAGGGCCTTCGCGGGGCCTCCGCGGTTCAAAAGAATAATTCGAGGGAGTTAAATAAATTAAATTTGATTTTCTGTTTTTTTCTGCAGTTTGAGGGGCACAAAGAGGCAAACAAACAGCAAACAAACACCGAAAACGAAATCCCCGCTGGCCGCCGATGGCGACCCCTCATCAGCCCGCTCCCCCTTCTCGCCCCGTCCGCATTTATTATATTTATTTATTTTAAATGTTCAATTTTTTATAAATAGAGTGCAAATTTTTATTTATTTCTTTCTTTGATGCCTCCTTTGCCACCTCTCGATTGGCCCCGCATTTCCTGTTCGGCCGCTGCACGGGAGCGCCGAGCGATGAAGAGTCTGCGAAGGCGGGGGAAGCAAAATCAACGAGTTTGAACTTTGAAAATAAATTCAAAATATATATTTTTTAATTTTAAATGCATTTAAATTATTTTAATTCACAAGATTGCCTTGTAGATCCTGAGACAGCGCCGCTCTGGAGGGCAAACGACGCGAAACGCGGCAGCAGCAGATCGTCAGCAGCAGAAGGTACTGCTGCTGCTGCTGATGCTGGCGATCTGCTGCTGCTGCAGTAGCTGCTACTGCTGGCGTTGCTTCCTCTCTCGCTGCTGACTTTATTCATGGTGCCGCCGCTAATTTAGTCCCTGTTGCAGCTATTTTTGCTGCTGCTGCTGCATCAATTGCCGCAGCCGCCACAGCAGCAGCAGCAGCACCCGCTGCTGCTGCCGCGGCAGAAGCAGCAGTATTAGCTGCGGCAGGGAGCTGCTGCTGCAGCAGGGCTGAGCAGCATCATGAAGACGAAGCAAAAGACCCCTCAGCCAAGCAGCAGCCGCTGCAGCAACAAGCCCATGAGCAGCAGCTCCAAGCAGCAGCCTGCAGCAGCACACTTTTGCTGCTCTGCTGCAGCTCCAGAGGAGCCTTAGCTGCTGCGCTGCTCCTGCTGCGTCTCGCCCAGCTAGCCAGCTAGCTGGTGAGCTAGCTAGCAGGAGAAGACACGGCTAGCTACTAGCTAGCTAGCTGCCCTGCATAGCTAGCTAGCTAGCTACCGCTGCCTAACGTAGGTAGCTAGCTGCCTTCCATAGTTATCTAGCTACCTAGCGTAGTTAGCTAGCTACCCAGCTTAGGTAGCTAGCCAGCGTAGCTAGCTAGCTAGCCAGCGCAGCCAGCTGGCTACCTAGCATAGCAAGGAACAGCTAGCTAGCTGGCTTGCCACTTGCACAGCTAGCTAGTTAGCAGCAAGTTGGTTAGCAGCTAGCTAGCTATGCCGCTAGGCCCTCCCCAGCCGAAATGCCAGGGGCTTCAAGCTGCGCTACTTTTACGCAGTGCGGCCAACAGCAGCCGTTCACTTGCTGCTGCTGCTGCTGCTGCTGCTGCTGCTCCTGCAGCATCCGTAAGGCAGAACGAGAAGAAACTAAGTTCACGAAGAGCCAAAAGAATTGAAAATAAGTTAATGTATAAACGGACAGATGCAATCAAATTGTTCATTTGTTTAATTAATTTATTTATTTGCTTTGTGTCGGCAAGAACATAACGTCTCTAATGCTGCTGCTGCCAGTCAGCAGCAGCAGCAGCCGATCCACTCCAACGCCCAGCCCCGCCGTGGGGCACAACCCCAAGCAAAGACTTTGCAGAAAGTCCTGCAGCAGCAGCAGCAGCACGGCAGCAGCAGCACAGCAACAGCAGCAGCACAGCAACAGCAGCAGCAGAAGTAGCACACAAACAGCAGCACAGCATTACTTGATCTGTCGACTCGTTTTTGTGTTTTGCTCGCTTCTATCTAACTCTTCAGTTTGTCCTTCATTTATTTTCTTATTTTGCTGCTGTCTGGGGTTTGCTGCTGCGACTGCAGCTACGGCTGAGGCGGGCAGCTCGCAGCAACAGCAGCAGCGAAGCAGCAGTAGAGCAGCAGAGCAGCAGTAACAGCAAAAGCAGAAGCAGCAGAGCAACAGCAGAGCAGCGGCAGCAGCAACCATAGCAGAGCAGGAGCAGCAGAAGCGCAGCAACAGAGCAGCAGCAGCAGAAGCAGCAGCAGCAGCAGAGCGGCAGCAAGCGCGGGTGTGCCGAACCTCGTGGTCTGCTTGGGGCCCCGCGTCTTCAAGTTGTTGATTTCTTCTTTTATTTTTAATTATTTTATTTAATTTAAATTCTTTTTGCTGCTGCTTTGATTTAAATTCTTTTTGCTGCTGCTTTAATCTCCTCCGCTGCTCCAGCGGGCAGCTCAACTCTGCGTAGCCGTCAGCCACTTCCACTCCCCCCACATAGGTTTCGAAGCGCTCAGCCAGCGGCATGTCACCTGCTGCTGCTGCTGCTGCTGCTGCTGCTGGCGCTTGTGATGCTGCTGCTGGCGTTGCTGCTGCTGCTGCGGCTGCTGCTGGCACTGCTGGTGCTGGTGCTGCTGCTCCTGCTGCTGCTGGGGGGGGTGGCGCTGCTGCTGATGCTGCCGCTGGGGGTGCTGCTGCTGCTGCTTCTGGTTCCGCTGCTGCTGCTGCTGCTGCTGGGGCTACTGATGCTGCTAGGGGCGACAGCAGCAGCGGCGGGTGCAGCACGTGGGTCGGCCTCAGAAGTTTCTTTTCTACAAATCTTTTGAAGAGAAAAGCAGACAAGTGCTCCTTGCTGGCGAGACAAGCAGCAGGCAGCGCCTGCTGCTGCTGTTGCTGCTGCTGCAGCAGCTCCGTCTGTCGAAGGGCCTGCAGCACACGCACGCGAGCCGCGCAAGCCGCAGCAGCAGCTCAGTCTTGCTGCTGCGGGCAAGTGAAGTCACCGCTGCTGCTGCTGCTACTGCTGCTACTGCTGCTGCTGCTGCCGCTGCTGCTGCTGGTACCTCTTGCAGCGTAAGCTGCTGCAGGTCGATGCCTGTATGCATTCTGACTAAGTCCAGGTACTTGTACTCCTCAAAAGGAATCTCCAGATCGACAGAGACAAGTCTTTGCTGCTCTTCTGGATCCCTCAGCAGCAACAGCCCCTGTTCCGTGAGGCCTGCTGCTGTTGCTGCTGCTGCTGCTGCCGGTCGCCGCCGGTGTCTGGGGACTGCAGCAACAGCAGCAGCAGCGGCCCGTAGCAGCTGCTGCGCGAGCTGCCGCATGTCTGCTGCTGCTGCCAAAGCCCGGTAAACTTCTAAAGAGACAAATTCAAAATGATGTCTCCAAGACAAGCCCTCGTTCCGGAAGCACCGGCCCAGCTCATAGACCTGGAGCAGCAGCAGCAGCAGCAGCAGCAATAGCAGCAGTAGCAGCAGCAACAGCAGGGATAGCAGCAGCAGAAGAAATGATGGACAGGAGTAGCAAATATAGAGCAGGAGACACAAGAAAGCGGACTGGCGCAGCAGCAGCGGCAGCAGCAGCAGCACCGACAGCAGCAGCAGCAGCAACAACAGCAGCAGCAAATTACCTTATCAGATACGCCGGCAACAATCAGCTTCTTTAGATTTAGCTCCGGCGCCTGGCGCAACACTACGCCTGTCTTGGTCTGCATCAAACAGCCAACCACATGCTGCTGCTGCTGCTGCTGCTGCTGCTGGTTTGCCGTTGCTGCTGTTGCTGCTGTTGCTGCTGCCGTTGCTGCTGCTGCTGCTCGAAGCTTACCGCATGAATCTGCGAGGCGAAGAGGCGGACTGTTTCAGCAGCTGGTGGAGCTTCCTGCTGCTCCTGTTCCGGCTCCTGCTGCTGCTCCGGCTCCTGCTGCTGTTGCTGCTGCTGCTGCTGCTGCATGCGCAGCAGGCAGGGGGTGTCTACAGCCAAATACCCCTCAGCATCAAGAAAAGAGCGCAAGGCCCCTATTGCTGCGCTGCGGCACAGCAGCAAATGGCGCCTGGCTGGCTGCTGCAGCAGGAGCGAGACCCCTGCAGCACCGCTGCTGCTGCTGTCTTGCTGCTGCCCTGGCTCCTGCTGCTGCTGCTCAGCTGCTTCTGCAGTCCAGAAATTCTCTTCATCCCCCTGCTCCTGCTGCTGCTGCTGTTCGTGCTGTTGCTGCTGCTGCTGCTGTTGCCGCCGCTGCTGTTGGAAGTCTCGCAGCAGCTGCTGCTGCTTCTCGCCCAAATAGTGCTGCAGTATCAGCAGCTGCGGGAGCCAGGGGTTGCGGCTGCCTTCACCCTGCTGCTGCTGCTGCTGTTGCTGCTGCTGCTGCTGCTGCTGCAGCGCGGCAGCATAGATAGCTGGAGCTCCGAGGTCTGCCACGTGCTGCAGGAGCAGCCCGCGTGCTGCAGCAACAGCAGCAGCAGCAGGTGAGCAGTTTGCTGCTGCTGCTGCCTCTGGAGGCAGCAGCTGCTTAGCCAGCAGCACCACCTGGCCTCCCCCTGTGTGGGGCCCCACATGTGGGGTCCCAGGGGCCCCCTGGCTTTGGGGGCCCCCCTGAGTTTGGGGGCCCCCCTGGCCTTGGGCAGTGGGGGCCCCCGGGGCCCCTGGCTGCTGGGCCTCCCTGGGGTTTTGAGGCCCCTCCTGGGTCTCCCTTGCTGCTGCTCCTGCTGCTCCTGCTGCTGCTGCTGCTGCTACAGCCAAGGTCAATTCTCCTTTCCTTGTTCTCTTCAGGGCCCCTCTTACTAGTATTATGTCCCCTAAATCCAGCAGCGGCAAAAGCTGCTGCGGAGCCAGCGGGGGCCCCCCAGGGGGGCCCCCAGCCGCTGCTGAAAGGGCTCGCTCACCCCTTGCTGCTGCTGCTGCTGCTGCTGCTGCTGCGCCTGCAGCGTGTTTCGGGCTGCTGCCGAAGTACACCTGCAGCTTATTTTTGCTGCAGCCATCGAGATAAGACAGAGGAGTTATATCTACGAAAGAGCCCCCATTTCGCACACTTGAGATGCGGCCATAGGCAGCTTCTTGCTGCTGCTGCTGCTGCTGCTGCTGCGGCTGCTGCTGCTGCTGCGGCTGCTGCGCGGAGGCTGTTGTTTCAGCTGCTCCTGTTGCTGCTGCTGCTCCAGGGGGCAGCGTGGAGTACCTCTCGTGTATGTCAGAAATGCTGCTGATGCCCAGACCCCGCTGCTGCTGCTGCTGCTGCTGCTGCAGCAACTCTTCTGTGGTAGGGTGAGTGTTTATGCCTAGGACACCCCGCAGCAAAATCCACTTAGAGACCCGGCGCAGAAAGTCCGCATCTCGGAAGCACAAACTGCTGCTGCTGCTGTCAATGCCGCTGCTGCTGCTGTTGCTGTCAATGCAGCTACTGCTGCTGCTGCTGCTGTCGATGCAGCTATCGCTGCTGCTGCACTTTGTTGAGATGAGCCTAAAGGCCCGACGTTCATTAAAGCTCTCTTTCCTGCAGTGGATTTGCCTCCGTGCCCGCTGCTGCTGCTGCTGCTGCTGCGTTTGCTGCTGCTGCTGCCAGCCCGTTGCTGCTGTGGAAGAAAAGCTGTTCACAAGAAAGGCCCCACAAGGAGACGCATGTCTGATAGGTCTTGCTCTTGCTGCTGCTGCTGCTGCTGCTGCTGCTGTTTTCGGTGTCAATCGATCCGCTGTCGAAGGCCCTCCAGCAATCAGCAGCAGTAGCAGCAGCAGCGGCAGCAGCAGCCGCGTGAGCTGAATGTGGACTCCATTCTGTCTCATGTGGCTGCCTCAGCAGCAGCAGTCGCAGCGCGAGTTGCTGCTGCTGCTCGCCATAGGGCAGATAGCAGCTCTGCTGATGCCGTTGCTGTTGCTGCTGCTGCTGCTGCTATTGCTGCTTGTGCTGCTAATGCGCTGCGGCTGTTGCTGCTGCCGCTGCTGTTGTTGCTGCTGCTTTTGCTCCTGCTGTTCCTGCTGCTTCTGCTGCTGCTAGAGCTGCACACTGGGAGGCCTTCGAGCGCAGCTACCAGCAAGCCAAGGCCAATCTGGACCGGAGCCTTAAGCCCGAGACCCTAAATCCTAAACCCTAAACCCTAAAACTTCGAGCCTAAACCCCAAACAGCGGTTGAGTCCTAAGGCTAAATATAATGATAAAAAGAAGGCAGCTATAAAGGACCAAAGATAAGGGGCCCTCAGCAGTTCTGGGGCTCTGCTGCTGCACAGCCCCTGCCTGCTGCGCTGCAGCAGCTGCACAGGCAGCAGCAGCAGCAGCAGCAGCAGCGCGAGCTGGGAATTGCTGATCTAGTGCGGGAAATTCGGGCCAATTTGCGTATCTCTGTGAGCTGAGGAGACAGGCGCTCTCCTGCTGCTGAGCAAGACACCGATCCCAGCAGCAGCAGCAGCTGCAGCAGTGTTGCTGCTGCGGCCCCACGAGCTCGCGAGACAGCGGGGCCTCTTTCTCTTATTCAAAGTGACACTTTGAGTCTCGACAGCAGCAGCAGCAGCAGCAGTGCCCCAGGCGTCTCTTGAGCAGCGGCGGCGTCAGCAGCAGCAGCAGCAGCAAGAGCTGCAGCAGCAAGATGGCAGCAGCACACGAAGACTTCTTCAACGGCCGCGGCAGCGAATTCGACTTGGTGCAGCAAGATGAGTTCTTACTAGACAACGGAGACCCGGCGCAGGACCTGCAGCAGCAGCTGCAGCAGCACCGTCAGGAGCTGCTGCAGCAGGAAGAGGAGGTGAAGCAGCAGCAGCAACAGCAGCAGCAGCAACAGCAAGACCTCGTTTTAAACAACGGCGTGGAGTTCCCCTCAGGCCAAGCCCTAACGGATAAAAGGGAAGACTCAAATGACCCTTTTTCAGCCCCAGGGGCCCCCCCAGAGGACCATCTGGGGGCCCCCCTGGGGGCCCCCCTGGCTTCCCCTCTAGAGGTTTCTTTGGGGGCCCCCACAGGGGCCCCACAGGGGCCTCCTATGGGGGGCCCCGCCCCCTGGGGCGCCCCCCTTGGGGGCCCCGATCTGGGGGCCCCCTTGGGGGCCCCCCAGAGTGCTGCTGAGATGCTGAGCCCTGAGGAGGCGGCGAAGCAGCAGCAGCAGCAGCAGCAGATGCTCATGCTGCAGCGGCAGAAGGAAGAGCTGCAGCAGCAGCTGCAGCAGGAAATCGAGGCCCGGCGGAGGGAAGATGAGACCCTGCGGCAGCAGCAGCTGCAAATTGCTGATGAAGAAATAAAGGGCTTTTATGAACAGAGAGAAAGACATCTGGAGAGAAGAAAGGCACAGCTCAGGTTTGCTGCTGTTGCTGCTGCTGTTGCTGCTGCTGCTGTTTGTTTGCTGCTGTTGCAGTGCCGCATGTACTGCGGTTGTGCTGCTGCTGTTGCTGCTGCGCTGCTGCTGCTGCAGTTGCCGCTTGTAGCGTTTGCTGCTGTTGCTGCGCCTGCATTTGTGGGCTGCGCAGAGCGAAGGCAGCAGCAGCAGCAGAGAAAGACAAAAAGGACTGCGGCAGCGGCTGGGCGAGAGTGCTGTGGCTGGTGGAGAGAAGCAGCAGCAGCAGCAGCAGCAGCAGCAGCCAAGCAGCAGCAGCAAAAGAAAAGGACCGCCCTGAACTGGGGCGCATGCGGCGGCTGCTCGTGGAGCTGGCAGCAGAGGCCCCCCGAGCCTGAGCAGCAGCAGCAGCAACTGCTGCTGCAGCTACTGCTGCTGCTGCTTCTGCTGCTGTGTCGTGTGTCTTTTAAGACAACGGCCGGATTTCATCTGTGGCAGCAGCAGCTGCCTATTCTGGTGCTGTTGTTGCAGCCGCTGCTGCTGCTGCACATACTGCTGCTGCAGCCACTCCTGCAGCTTCTGCTGCGAATACTGCTGCTGCAGCCACTCCAGCAGCTGCTGCTGCAGCCGCTGCTGCGACTACTGCTGCAGCCACTCCTGCAGCTGCTGCTGCAGCTACTGGTGCGAATACTGCTGCTGCAGCCACTCCTGCAGCTGCTGCTGCAGCAGCAGCAGCTGCTGCTGCTGCTGCGCGTCTGTTTATATATTTTGTGTCTCACACACCGACACAAATATAAAAAACTATTGCGCCTATTTGGAAAGAAATATAAAGGCAGCAGCAAATACATATAAACAGATGTTTATATAAATATATAATATATATATGTTATATAATATATATTTTAGATATATATACAAGTATATACAGATTTACTTTTTTATTTTCTATCATTTAAATAGATTTAGTTTGTAGAAATTAGCTTTTATTTAATATTAATTTAATTAAATATTAATTTTGATTGAAAGGTATTTTTATTTTGTGGGAATACTTTTTGGTATATGTACTGAGGGCTTTTTGCTGCAGCGGCTTAGCCCACAGCAAGGGTGGAGGAATTGAATTAGAAATGAAAATATTTTAAATTAAAATTAAAAATAAATAAATAAAAATAATTACTTTAGGTGTTTCCTTTCTTTAGAATTAAAGGAGGAGATGAGTCACAGAAAAGCTGCCAGCTGCAGCTAGCTGCTGCTGCTGCCTTCTTGCTGCTGCTGTTGCAGCTGCCTTCTTGCTGCTTCTGTCTTGCTGCTGCTTTCTTGCTGCTGCTTACTTGTTGCTGCTCTCTTGCTGCAGCTTTCGTGGTGCTATCTTGGTGCTCCTTTTTTGCTGCTTCTTTCTTGCTGCCTCTAGTGCAATTGCTATAAACTGCCTTTCCTTTTTGCTGCTGGCTGCTGCTGCTGCTGCTGCTGCCAATTAATTGGACTTTTCACAGACAAAGAAAAAGAAATAAACGAAACGAATGTTCCCGTCTCGACGAGGTGTCCGTACACCTCAGCCTGCAGCTGCGGAAGCAGCAGTTCTCACGCAGCGCAGCAAACAAACTGCAACAGCAGCAGCAGCAGCAACTGCTGCTGCTGCTGCTGCTGCTGCCTGGGCTTTCGAAGCCAGCGAAAGGGCTCAGCCCCGGTGCCCCCCGCCACTTATTGTTACTTGTTATTTATTATTAGTTGTATTTTTATTCGTTTATTATTATTTGCTGCTTTTTAATTTTAATTTTCATTTTTTATTGATCAAGATCAGCATCGGGGGGGCCCTGCTCAATGAGCTGCTGAATCCTTTCGAATTCTTCCGTAGTGAGGTCGCCGTCATCTGCTGCTGCTCCTGCTGCTGCTGCTCCTGCTGCTGCTGCCTCCGTGTCTTCCTGGAAGCCAAAGGACTTGTAGCCGAAGGCCATCACTGCGCTGCTGCTGCTGCTGCTGCTGCTGATGTCGCAGACGTTCGGGTGCACCCGCAGCAGCAGCTCGCCGTCGCCGCCCCCAGGAACTGGCTGGCCCTGCGCGCATACAGTGGTCCTTTTGCTGCTGCTGCTGTTGCTGCTGCTGCTGCTGTTGCTGCTGCGGCTTAGCTCTCTTCCTCTCAGTTGAAGTCTTTTGGTTTCAAATTTATGCTGCTGCGATCAGCGCTGCTGCTGCTGCTGCAGTGCCGCTTTGCAAAATTTCCGGCATTTGCCGCCCCCCCAAACCGGTAAAGGGTTGGTTGATGGTTGGAAAATTAAGTTATTATTTATTTATTTATTTATATGTCTATACATTTATCTATTTATTTATTTATTTTTCAAACAATCCACTAAAACACTCACCAGCAAATACCCGTCTTGGTCTATCAGCCGCTGCACAATCAGCCGCAGCTTTCTGTACCATTCATCCAGTACTTCTGCGTCATCTGGCTGCAGCACATCTTCTAGCCACCTGCAAGCAGCAGCAGCAGCAGCAGGTGCCGCAGCAGGTGCAGAGGAAGGTGCAGCAGCAGCAAGTGCGGCGCAGCAGCAATGAATGCGGCGGCAGTAAGAGCGATGCATGCAACAGCAACAGCAGGAGGCAGCAGCACACCTAGCTGCAGCGCCAGACGCACGTGCAGCAGCAGCAGATGCAGCAGCAGCAGATTTAGCAGCAGCACCGGATACAGCACCAGCAGCAACTGCCCCTAACATAATTAATACAAGCTCGAAACTGCACTCTCCGTTACATCAGTTGTGAGCGCAGCAGCAGCAGCAGCAGCAGCAGCAGAAGCTGACCATTCAATGACCGCGTGCGAAGACACTCCTTGGAAGGAGTCAGTTTCAGCTGCTGCTGCAGCTTCTTTTTGCGAAATGTAATCTATTATTTGAGAAGCTATGCGTCTGTAATCGTCTTGAGAAATGTGCATTTCCTGCTGCGGTCCTGCTGCTGCTGCAGCAGCAGCGCCGTCCTCGCCTTCGCCTTCCTGCCGCTTGTCGCTCTCTGCTGCTGCTGCTGCTGGCTCAGTCAGCCGGATGTCTTCTGTGTGCATTATGCGGTGGAGAGAAGCTCTAAAGAAAGAATAAAAAAGCAAATAAATACAAAAGTAGAATATAGACTAAAGTTTCTTCTTCAGAGAAACACATAACCCAAAAATACACCTGAAAACGGATAAATGCATGTTCTTCTTGGGCTGTACCGGCAGCTCCGACTGGCAGAGTAAAAGTGCACTGAACACTCGCGCTGCAGCATGGTGCACCATCTAGGGTTTAGGGTTTAGGGTTTAGGGTTTGGCACCTGAATATGTTGACGGCTTCTTTCGCGTGCTCCTCTCGGACGAAGTCGCTGAAGTGAAGGCGAGCGACCGCCTCTGCAGAGCCACCCACCAGCAAGGGTTTAGGGCTTAGGGTTTAGGGCTTAGGGTTTAGGGTTTGGAGCAGGAAGACCCGCCCAGCCATCTCTGTTGTCTTTCTTTCGCCTGCAGTGTATAGCCAGCTGGCAGTCCATCTGGTGTGTACAGGCAGCTGCTGGGGTGTACAGGCAGCAGGTCTGCATGGACTAGAGCCAGCGCCTACGGCTCAGGGTTTAGGGTTTAGGGTTTAGGGTTTAGGCGGACCCGATAAGCGAATGAGAGACTCCAATTGACGAACAGTAATCCTCATGTTGTGCTGCAGCCCTGGCTGCGCGTCCATCAGCCGCAGCGCCACGTAAGCCTCCATCAGCCGCCGCTTGCCCTCGTCTGCGCACAAGCCCTAAACCCTAAACCCTAAACCCTAAACCCTAGGGCCTAGACCCTAAACCCTGAGGGTTGGCCGTAAGCGGCGGGCTGCTCAACCTAAAAGTCACGCAGGCTCACAGCAAGGACAAAAGCCCAGCCGGAAGGCTCGGATTTAGGGTTTAGGGTTTAGGGTTTACCGGTCATGATGGGTTTGAGCTTTTGCGCACACTCGACGTAGAGGCGCAGCTCATCTTGAGTTAGAGAATCTGCTGCTGCTTGTGCTGTTGCTGTTGCTGCGGCGTCCTCAGGGCTCATGTGGTAAGCGGCCTGCGACAGCAGCAGCCGTGCAGTGTACAGGCAGCTGCTGCTGAGGTGTAGGTACACCCACTGCGGTGTACAGGCAGCTGCTGCAGTGTGCAGGCAGCTGCTGCTGAGGTGTACGTACACACGCTGCGGTGTACAGGCAGCTGCTGGGGTGTACAGGCAGCTGCGGGGGGATACAGACAGCTGTATCTGCGAATGCGGACGCGGTGGTTGAAGTGCGTTTCGCAGCTAGGGTTTAGGGTTTAGGGTTTAGGGTTTACGAGGTGGTCGAAGATGGCGCTGTCTCGGGCCTCGTCAGCCTCGTCAATTAAAGTGAAAAGCAAATCGAAGCGCGACAGCAGCGGCGCAGGAATATGAACATTAGCAGCAAAACTTTTGCTGCGGTCGTAGCGCCCGAAGCGCGGGTTGCATGCAGCCAGCACGCTCGCCCGCGCATTCAGCGTCGCCTGAGCCCCAGCACCCCACACGATCCCACACGATCCCAGACGATCCCAGGCGATCCCAGGCGATCCCAGGCGATCCCAGGCGATCTCACACGATCCCCAGCCAGCCCCACACGGTCCTAAACCGATCCCATACGATCCCCAGATGACCCCACACAATCCCAGGAGGATCCAACACGATCCCAGGCGATCCCATAAGATTGACAGACGATCCCACGCCGGCCAAAGCCAGAAAGACGATCCCAATGAAACCCCACACGACCCAAACACAATCCCACATGATCCTAGTCTCCCCTACACGATCCCAACACGATCCCACATGCCCAATAGCATTTCAACGCAGTGAGGGGGGACCCCACTTCAGCCCAGCGAGACTAGCAGCAGCAGCAGCAGCCACAGCAGCAGCAGCAGCAGGAAGCAACAGCAGCAGGCAGCAGCAGCAGTAGGAAGCAGCCAGGGGTGGTGCTTGCAGAGCTGCTGATTGCCTGAGCGTGTGAACACTGGTTCCACCTCACGGCCACCGGAAACTCTCTAGGGTTTAGGGTTTAAGATTTGGGGTTTAGGGTTTAGGGCTTAGGGTTTGCAGGAACCTGAATGCCAGCCTTGGCTATTGAAATTGTCTGCTGCTCCATTGCCTCGTGAATCGCCACTCTGTCTTTTTCATCCATTTTGTCGAACTCGTCGATGCAGCAAATCCCTAAACACAAACCCTAAACCCTAAACCCTAAACCCTAAACCCTAAACGAGGACTTCCGAGCCCTAAACCTGAATCCTAGGCTGTGAGAGCTCGGAAAACTGTGAGTCCGAGGCGATGGCTGGCTCCACGGCTAGGGTTTAGGGTTTAGGGTTTAGGGTTTCCTACCTTGGTCAGCGTACATGAGGGCGCCTGCCTCCAACACGTAGTCTCCCTGGTCCGGATCTCTGCGCCGACGCAAACCTAGCCCTAAACCCTAAACCCTAAACCCTAAACCCTAAGCCCTTGTCCCTGGCCTCGTCTGTTGAAGTCTGCGATCAACTCCGCGCGCCTGTCGGCAGCGCCTCGCGGCTGCTGGCGGCTCGTGGCCCGGCCGTCCCAGGGCCTAGGGTTTAGGGTTTAGGGTTTAGGGTTTACCTGACGACTGCGGCGGTGAGCCCCGCTGCTGTGGAGCCCTTGCCGGAAGCAAAAACCGCTCGAGGGGCAAAAGACTCCACCCAAGTCAGCAGCTGGCTTTTGCTGGTCGAAGGGTCCCCCACAATGCACATGTTGAGGTCTCCTCTGCAGCAGCAAACCCCAAACTCCTGCTGCTGCTGCTGCTGCTGCTGACGCTGCTGCTGCTGCTGACGCTGCTGCTGCTAATGCTGCTACTGCTGCTACTGCTGATGCTACTAATGCTGCTACTGCTGCTGCTGCTGATGCTGCTGCTGGTGCGGTTGTTGTTGTTGCTGTTGCTGCTACTGCTGCTGCTGCGCCTGCGGGCTGGCAGCAGCAACTGGTGCCGCGGGGGCTAAGGGGCTGCTGCTGTCGAGAGCGGCTAGCCAAGGCTCTAAACATACTTGATTTAAATTAATTTTACCTAAACCTCTTTTAAGGGTTTAAAAGAAAGCTTGCCTGAGTCTTGAGCTGCCAGTCTCCTTCGTTACCCCTCCTGTAATGGTCAGCAGCAAACCCTTCTTGATATCTTCGTAGCCCCACACCTGCAAGCACAAAAGCAGCCGCAGCACGTGTCGCTGCTTCTGCTGCTGCAGCTGTCGCAGCTGCAGCAGACGTTGCTGCTGCAGCAGGTGTTGCTGCTACATCAACCAGCCAAGAGCAGCAGCAGCAGCAGACCGGCCCTCCACTGCAGCAGCACCGGCACCACCGCGCCAACCGCAGCACCACCGCCGCCACCAACGCCATAATCAGCAGCAGAAGCAACAGCAGCAGCAGCAGCAGCAGCAGCAGCAGCAGCAGCAGCTTGTACTCTGGGCGCAACGCTCCGAACGAGGTAAGAAAGGCAATCTGGGCGCTCCGCAACTTCTCGAATCCACTCGAAGGCTCCTCTGCTTAGAAAGTCGCTGGCTTGAAACAGCTGAGACGCAGCCGCAGCAAGCCATTAGGGTTTAGGGTTTAGGGTTTAGGGTTGAGCGTCTAGGATTTGGGTTCAGGATTTGCGCGGGGCCGCGTTGGGCAAAGAGCACACCAAAAGGCTAAGAAACGAGGCTCGGCTCTGATTCGTTGAGTAGGCCTTAGGGTTTAGGGTTTAGGGTTTGCAATTTAGGGTTTAGAAAATCGGGTTTCAGGTCCCGGGGAGGCGGCAGCTGCACGTAGAGTGTGGAGGGCGCGTGTTCGGGCGAGAGCATCCGAGGGTTTGGGGTTTAGGGTTTAGGGTTTAGGGTTTACTTCTCTGCCGTCGTCGGCGGCCTGCTCCTGCTGCGCCGTGGAAAGAGACTCAATGTTAATTGCCAAAAAACAAATCTTGAAGTTCAACTCCCTAACCCCTAAACCCTTAAGCCCTCGAAGTGCGCTGCCCCCGAGGGCTTCTGAGCGCTGCCGCGCTTGGCGCGAGACCGACCTGCAGCAGCAGCAGCAGCAGCGGCAGCAGCATTAGCAGCAGCAGCAACAGCAGTGGAAGCAGCAGCAGAGGCAGCAGCAGCGGCGGCGGCAGCAGCAGCCGCAGCAGCAGGGGCGTTAGAGATGAACAAAACCACTGCTTGCAGGCAGTGCAGGCTTTAGCGGTCAGAACTTAGGGTTTAGGGTTTAGGGTCTAGGGTTTACCGCGGCAGCTCTCCAGGCTTTAGAAGCGCTGGAATATCTGGCACAGCAATTAAAGCCCCCGTGACCAACACCACGTCGCCGGCGTAAACACAATCAACCAGTGAGTGCCTGCCAAAAGCAGCAGCAGCAGCAGCAGGTACAGATGCAGCAGCAGCAGCAGCACACGCAGCAGCTACTGCAGCACGGCATGCCGGAGCAGCGCTCCCGCCGCCGCCGTCCCACCCCCGCAGCACCACCCGCAGCAGCAGCAGCAGCAGCAGAGCCCGGCGCCTCCCCCTCCCCTTCCTCTTCGCAGCAGCAGCAGCAGCAGCAGCAGCAGCAGCAGCAGCAAACCTGGCGATGACGTCTATGGAGCGCGGCACTGCTGCTGCGTGCATCTCCCCCGAGGGCTCCTGCAGCCGCAGCTTTTGCCAGTCGCTGAATTTGGAAAGTTCTGTGACCAGCCTCCAGTCGAGGCTGTTGTGGCACTGGGGGCTGGAGCACTTGACGGGCTGCACGCAAACCCTAAACCCTAAACCCTAAACCCTAAAACCTTGGCCCCGAGCCGCGCAGCAAGCTGCGGCAAACGCCAGCAGCGCCCGGAAGCCTCGAGCCCGCCCCAGCCCGCGCTCCACAGCCCGCGCCGCCCGCCTAGGGTTTAGGGCTTAGGGTTTAGGGTTTAGGGTTTAGGGTTTACCTGGGTGTACTTGAAAGCCTGCGCCACCCCCTCCTCTATATTGCCGCAGTCCCCACACAGAAAAGCCCCGTGCAGCAGCTCCGGGCGGACATCTGTAGTGCGGGTGACTAAACCCTTGATGCAGCAGATGCTGCCAAGCATGCTGCAGCGAATGCTGCTTATGCTGAGCCGCAAACCCTAAACCCTAAACCCTAAACCCTAAACCCTGGGCCCGGAGCACTCCACACAGTGGCTGCAACACCGGCACCCAACAAAACCCTCAGCACCCTCGACAGCAAGCCGAGGCGCAGACCGCTGCTGCGCGCACAACATAAGCCCCAAACCCTAAACCCTAAACCCTAAACCCTAAACCCTAAACCCTAGATTACCTATGCACGTATCGCGGCACGTCGTGGAGCTGCAGAAACACCGTAGCAGGGTTGCAGGAAATGCGCTGCGCCACTTCATCCGCCATTTGCTGCACCCGCTCCTGCAGCAGCGGCTGAATCCTGCAGCCATAAACCCTAAACCCTAAACCCTAAACCCTAAACCCTAAACAATTCGCTCCAGTGCGCACGCGCTTTTCCCGGCGTCCAGCTTCCGCACGCGAAACGCTCTTCTCCCCATCTGCTTCGGCGCACCTAAGGGCTTTCAGTTGAGGTTTAGGGTTTAGGGTTTAGGGTTTAGGGCTTAGGGTTTGTGGCGACCTAATGTAGTTCTTGCGGATGTGGTGAGCCAACTTCAGGCCTGCGTCGTCCACAGGGGCCCCCTGGGGGGCCCAACTCTCTACATCAGCTAAATGGACTTTGAGGGTTTTGCAAGAAGAGAGAAGGCGAAGAGAAGCTGCCAGCCGGCGCAGGTAGCAGTGCTCTGCGTACAAACCCTAAACCCTAAACCCTAAACCCTCGGTGCTGCGCGCAAAGCGCGAGCAAAGAACCTCCAGCGCCCTTTTTCAATTCCAAACCCTACGCCCACTTCTTTGAAAGGCAACCGTAATATTCCGATCCCCAAAGCCCTCACCCTAAGGCTTGAGCCCCAAACCTTAAACCCTAAACCCTTAACCCTAAACCCTAAACCCTTATTGTGCGTGCCTGAGATGTCGGAAGGCAGCCCCTCTGCAGCTTCTGCTTGCTCCAGGTCGTCGGCTGAAGGATCTGGCCCTTTAAAAACCCTCAAAAAATGGGCAAAGAATATGGCGAAGTTCCTGTCCTGAAGACACATCGAGCCCTAAACTCTAAACCCTAAACCCTAAACCCTGAGTTCTAAATCCCGCAGTCTGAACTCTGCACTAAAATACCCGAACCGGTGTTATATCCCCTTCCCTTGATCTTCGGGGAGCATCCGAGGCTCAGGACACGGCGAGCAAAGGTCCACGCTCTAGGATCTGGGTAGGGTTTAGGGTTTAGGGTCTAGGGTTTAGGGTTTGAGCACCTGCACTGTGGCAGGGTCGTCTCTGCCCGAAGCATTGTTGTTGGCTGTAGAGGCAAAGCCAGAGGGGCCCGCCATAGACTGCTGGGGGGCCCCCGGGGCCTCAGGGGTGGCGAAGGGGCCCCTGGGCCCCTCTGAGGCAGTGGCGGTGGCCGCCATTGCTGCTGCTGCTGCTGCGGCTGCCGTTGCCGCTGCCGCTGCTGCTGCTGCTGTTGCTGCTGTGGGGGAAGCAGCCGCAAAAGACAGAAGTTAGGGGGGGAGGGGTAGGGCCCCGCGGGCTGAAGAAGGAGGAGCTCAGGCGCAGTGAGCCTAGCGCCTGAATTTAGGTCTTTCAGTTTTTAGATGTGGCTAAATAATTAAAAATAAATTAATTTTTCACTAACACGGCAGAAGATGTGCGCCTGTGCAAATTAGCCAGGCCCTGGGGAGCCCAACCCGAAACCCAAAGCCACCAGGCGGCTGCGAGGGTGTTGCTGGGTGGTAGTAACACCCTCAAGGGTTTAGGGTTTAGGGTTTGGAGTCCACAGTTCTCTTCCAAGTAATGTAATTTCCCATTGAGTCTTGAATATTTGCAAGCATATGGGTCTAGATTTGAGCCTCATTTGTCCCGATTCGGTACCCAGGGTTTAGGGTTTGGAGCTCGGATTTAGGGTTGAGCTTAAGGTGGGGCCAGCAGGCAACGCTTCTTGTGTGGGACTTACTGCAGCTTGACAAAATGACTGGCTGTGTGCCTAGACGCCGAAATAGGGTTTAGGGTTTAGAGTTCAGGGCCTAGGTTTTGGCCCCCAGGGTTTAGACCTGAGGGTTTAGGGTGTAGGGTTTCGGACGCGCGGCTCGCTTCGATGTTCTGCGAGGCTCGAACCAACGCGAATTGCAGCAAACGGGGCATTAAAAAGCTGACAGATCACATTTTGGTGAAGAAGGAAACCTCCAAAGCCACTTCGGTGCAAGCTTTCTGGGTTTTACACCGGCTTAAGCGGCTGCTGAGTACTTGGGAAGTTCCATTTCCCAGGCACGGCAGCGCCGAGTGACCATAGAGCAGTGCAGGCTAAGGGGGCCCCCGAGTGCGCAACGCTAGCTAGCAGGCCTAAACCGTAAACTCCAAACCCTAAACCCTAGGGGCGCTCCTGAGAGAAGCCTTAACCGCATAGCTGACGCAGCAAAACTTTGAAACTGCTGTGTAGGGGTGGGGTTGTTGTTGTAGGAGGCCCTAGATATATATATATGTATGCATATATATAATATATATATTGTGGTTTTCAAAATTTGAAATACCTGGGGAGTGAGGGTCCCAAGGACTGGGCCACGTGAAGTAGCAGCAGTAAGCAGAGCTCTAAACCACTTTATGAGCTTAAGTGATAAGCACTTTGCAAGAACAGAATTGAATGCTGATCAGAAAGGCCAAAAGGCGCAAATGACATTTCCAGTAGAACAGTAAAGACAAGCAAATGGGTGAGGAAATGCGAAGCCTCCATCCTGCCAGGGTCCCCAGAGTTGCCCCGTAAGAAGACGCTGGGTATTTCTTTGCTGCTAGATTTGAGCCTGAAAAGGAATGCAAAAGAATGGCTTTTGGGACTCCCTTGGGGGCAAGAAAGCCGAGAAAAGAAAAGCTTCGGGGGAATAAAATAGACTAATGGACCATGAAAGAAGTGCAGCAGCCCTGAGCAGCAGCAGAAAAGAAAACCCTTGGCCAGGGCCGCAGCAATGGGTAGCTGAGCCGAGTTTTCGAGGCCAGAAGCACTTATCTTTTCCTCAAAAATGTCCTTTGTAGGAAAAGGACATTATCTGTCACTTAGACAAGATCTTGGGCAATCAGAATGGCATTAAATGCTGCCTTAGGCTTTTTGGGCCAACGAAAACCCTTCATAAACCCATAAGGAAAATCCTGCTGGGAAGTTGCCTTAGAAGCCCTTTTTAAGCTAATCCCCCACCTAGCCGCTGCTCAGCTGCGTTGCATGCAAAATTAATTTGCACCTCTCCGGAAATAAATAATAAATGTTCCAGTCTTTTCTGCAGCAACCAGAGTAAGAAAGCTGCTTAATGCGCTGGTGTTCAGAAAAGCCTTTCGCGGGTTTCGAGCCATCTCAAATTGAGCATACAATGCCGTGTGGATACTGCACAGAATGCTCCAGCCCTCAGTTCCCGGCTCTTTACGGCCTATTTTGTTTTTATCTTTTCACACAATGCATATTTGTTCCTCTCTTTCCCCACAATTCACATTTGCTTCACACAATGCATATTTGTTCCTCTCTTTTCCCATAATTCACATTTGCTTCTCTCTTTCACACACTGGCGCTGCACCACAAGCTGCACCGCAGCGGGAAGCTCTGCGTTGCCTGCCAGTCGCCTCTAGGTTTCAATTTCCTGTTTCTTGCATCGTCTGTTTCATTCATGATGAGAGGGTGCTCGCACTCGCTGCTGGTGAAGGGGGCTTTCTATGGATTATTCCACTTTCTTGGAGCTGCGACTGCAGCCTAGAGTGGAACAAGGCCTCGGAGCTGCTAACTACCACAAAAGTGACTAAAAGCCCTTTGTATCGCAATCATTCCAGTTAAGCTTCATCCCCTCTGTCATAGTGGCGAAAAGGGGTTGTGCTGCGCTGCAGCTGCCGCAGCACTTGTGAATGCGAGGCTCGACCTCAACACTTTGCCTCAATTCCCCATTCATCGATGAGATTGTATAGCCTCGCATGTTCATATATTCCCGATAGCCTCGCATGCTCATATATTCCCTTTTATCGAAATACAGTGTTATAGATATGTATATTCGTATGCGTGTGGAAAAGATATAGAGATATGCATATACACCAACCAGCACAGCAGCAGAAAGCCTGCTGCAAGTTTCGGCCATTCTTCAGAAATAATCAAGTGGTTTTTTTTGCCCGAACAGTTTTTTGCCTAAATATTTCTCACCTGGCTTCGACTGGCCTGGCGCAGAGCCTGAAGTGCCAGTGGAATGAGCTGCAGCTACTGAAGTTCATTTTTGCCTTGTCTCAAGCCGCGTTCTTCAGTTGAACACGAAGTCGTTTAGGCAGAAAAAGTGGTTTAGGGATTTTCCCGTGGGCTTTGCTGCATCTTGGCGTCCCTTGAATTGCGGGGAAAACCCAAGTCACTGAATTCTACGCTAGTTAGAAGCAGAAGCACAAGAGTTGCTTTTGTTCCCCAAAAGGCCAACTTCATTCCTTGACCCAGCTGTTGGGGTTGTGTCCGCATATTCATTTTTGCGGCTTCTGCCTTACCTTGGAAAACTGGAAGTTGCGGCTCAGCAAGTTATTCAAAATTTACAGCCTTTATTTGAAGCGTGAGCTCCCCCGTGCATGCGATTCGAAAAATACAAGAAGGCCCACTCTCCATAAATGTACATCAGTTTCTCTCTTTGCTGAATCTGGATCGTGCTGTAACCCACATATTATTTCTGCTGCGCAGGCGCATGAGTATATATGGCCTCACCCAGACACATCAATCTCACGCACATGGAAACCACCTCCACATGCGTCTAATGAATTCAAGATGCTTTGTTGTGTTAAGAAGCACTGAACTAAGATACCCGGAATCATCTTGCCCTCTTGAAAGGAAACTACACCAAACTAAGATACCCGGAAGCACTTTGCATTCTCGAATGGAAAGGAACCCCTCTCATCGACGTTGCCACTGCCTGCAAATCGGCATCAGCCTAACCCCAGAGCTGCAGCCCGTGATCTCTCCAAGTGCTATAAATCTGTATTTTCTACTTAATGCAAAACCTTCAATTGTTACATGTATTTAAACCGCATTATTCCGTTTTTCGAAGCAGCATCGAAGCGTGGCACTAGTTTGTAGAGGCCAGCATAAGGGAACTGCCCGACATAAGTACGTTCCCAAGGGACCACTTTGCGCCAACATTGCCTCAAGAGACCTTAACTACTCAACATATACCGCAGAAAAGCCTAGTTTCCGGTGCAGAAGGAAGTACACACACTTTATTGCGGTAACTTATGGTGGGCAACGCTGCCAGCACGAAAAAAAAAGCTAAAGCAGAGCTTCCCAGGGCATGAGGTAGTATAGGCTGGTTAAGGTGTAGTAGTTACATTTTCTTCAGGAAATGAAGCTCTGGCTAATTCCTTGCACTATACAACACATGTACAAACTTAAATACCGCGATACTGTCGATGCTGCTTTCCTGCGGCCGCTCACCACCCGGCATTTCGCCCTTACAGTATGCTTTGCCTGCCTTGTTATTCATTACCCTCGATCTTACAAAGTATTCACTAAATCTGGTCAATGTTTCTTTGGTTGGCTTTCAAGGCCGCCTGAGAGCGTCCCAGAAAGCAATTTTTTGTGGGGTGGGGGCTGTGCCAAGGGCTGGGCAGGATCTGGGGAACAGTGGCGAAAGAAAGAAAGGCAAGTAGGTTGAAATGTCTAGGATGTTTGGATTTCGCTCGATCTACAAATATCTTTCAGAAGAAATACTCTAAGAAACCGCCTTGCGCACGCCCATGCTGTGTGCGCTGCTGAGGCCTGAAGGGGGCTGCCGTGCGGGAACAGGTACCCGCTTTCCCGGCGCGTGGTCCAGAACCGCTCCACAGTTCGAGCAGGAGGTGACAAGCGGCCTCATTTTGTTGTTTTTAATTTGCGGCTAAAAGGAAAACAAAGGCGAATTCATTTGAATTTATGTAAGGAAGGCACGCACGGGACTTCAGCGACGGTTGACGTGCATCCACGGCGTTGCGCGCCCTCTGTGTCTCAAAACGTCTTAGCACTTCGTGCAGTTGACTTCTCGCTTATGCATTGGATTTATCGCTACAAATACTTCAAAAGCAAATTGCCCCCTTAGCGAGGTCTTACCGTGTTCCTGGCTGGAGACGCCCAGCCAACAAGGCCTGTCCCTGCGGATTTAAGCGGAAGCCCTGGGTGCCTTATGGGCGATTGAAAGCTGCGGAAGCTTCGGCTCCTAAGCATTGCTTAATGTTTGCATAGAATCAGATTCCCGCCTCACATAGTGGGGAAGCAAGTCTTGGAATCCACACTAGTTGTTTTGTCGTTTTTTGTTGCGTGGATTGGGTCGCGCGGCTGCTGAGTTGCTCGCGAAGCGTACTCGTGGCCGCAAATTAGCAGACTTGCATGTGCAGAACGAAGGGGGAGTGGAAGTAAAGAGGCTGGCGAGGAGGAAACTGGGGGTGG